TTAAATATCTTTTAAACATCATTATGAACTCATATAACATTTATTTAGGTAATCTCATAATTAACCCAAAAGTTATAAGATATTAAGCCGTCCACTCACCTTGAACTAGTGTTATGAAGTTCTACCCTTCTTGGTTGAACTCCGGTGAAACTCCGGTGACTTTTGGTCAACTCCGGCGACAACTCCGGCGACTTTTCCAACTTTGTGAAACCACTTGAAATACCCTTTACAAGTTCCTAACAAGGTTTTATAATCATAAAACCCATGTTAATACAAATAACCTCAAAAAGGTTATTTTCCGGTGAACCGGTCGTTTTGGCTTCTAAGTCCGTTCTTGGACGTAGAACCACCTTTCAACTCATAAATCCATACTTATAGCATGTGGAACCATACTTAAGGTCCTTTACATGATATATACCTCATATGGTAGAAGAAGAATAAAGGAAAAGTTAATATAAGGTCCTTACCTTAATTGTTCACACTTTTTCCTAGCTTTTTCCTTCTTTAATCTTCCTTCTTGGAACCCTATGGCTTGAGCTCGAATTTTGGCTATGGAAGATGAGTTTGCAGAGGTCTCCTTGTTCTATTACACAAAAAACACTTATTTTACCAAACACTACCAACTTTTACTTTTCAAAATCACTTTTTTCACAAACACTATCAACTTTTACTACCAATCACTTTTTCCTTACTTCTCCAAAAGTGCTTTTTTAAGCAGAAGCAGTAGCAAACACTCCCTTAATCCGCTACCATGAGTGGGAACTGTGGGTTGCGCGCGGGTGACGGGGATGAGGAACGGATGACAAGTTGCGTTTCTTAACAGAGTTATACCCCCTTAAAAAGGCACAAATAATTAAAAACAAAGTACACGTGAAGTAAGTTGTACTATACCACCAACAAATTTTTTATACCTAAAATAGACCTACCCTTATTCATGCTTATTATTTTGTATAGATAAATATTATTTTATCTTTTTTATTTTATCATTTTTAGGTATATTCATCTCTTTTTATATTATCTTTTTCATAATAGATTATCTTTTTTATCTTTATTTTCTTTCTTTTCCTTTTGATGGTGATATCATGTATCGATTCATGTTTGCCAACCCCAATATCTTTTGGGACTAAGGCTTGGATGTTGTTGTTGTTGTTATAGTCCACTTTTATATTTATTGTTTGTTTCTGATTGTATTTGTTATTTGACTTCACCTAAAAAATAATTAATATTCTGCTGATTACGCTGTTATTTGTTCATAGTAAATTATAAATATTACCGGTTAATTTATTACTACGTACATTTTATTTATGGTGCTATACTAGTTGAAGTTATTTTGGGGTTGAACTACCTGCTATTTGATGTGTACTTGGAACTATTAAACCTTTCTGTTTTTGTTATGTTTAAATTTAATGTTTACACTTGAGTTTTTTTGTAATATTTGAACATTGAGATATCATGTACTACCTCCGTCCCATTTATATTGTCCCAGAAGAGGGTGACACAGTTATTAAGAAAAGTGGGTTTGTGTGGTTAATATTAATTGATAGAGTATGAATAAAGTAAGAATGATTTAGAGCAACACAAATTTTGCCAAATATGATATGAGACAATTTAAGTGAGACTTCCCGAAAAGGTAAAACGGGACAATATAAATGGGACGGAGGGGATAAGTATAATGTAATGGTCATAATAATTTCATGATTTGAAATTTGAAATATTTTATGTAATTGAAAATAAAATATGTCCATTTTAAGCGGATAATGAATTTTTATAAGAAAACAAAAAAAAGTTGATCTCTGCACCGAATTTAGTACATTCAGAAAAAATATAATTCCATAATCACTTTTTTACCAAACACTCCAACTTTAACTCTTTCACTTTAATCACTTCTATTCTAAAACACTCCCAACTTTTATCATTAATCATTTTTTCAAAAATCACTTTACAAAACCACTTTTTAAGAAGTTAAGCAATACGAGAAGAGTTTTTTTACTCCTAGGGCTTTTCAGCCACTAGGGTTAGTTTTCCGATCTCGGTTTCACCGAGGATCGAGCTTCGATCGGTTAAGGACGGAGAGTGGCAGACGTCGGGCCGAGGGCTTGTATGGAGGAGTTTGTGGATTCATACAGGAAGTTAACGATGATGGAGCAAGCAAGTGAGCTGATTTTTTATGCAGAGGAGGACAAGGACGTCGAAGAGGATAAGGAGGCGTGCGGCTTTCCGGTGGTGGGGGTCGTCATATCCGATAGGAAGATCAGACTACCAGGGTTTCAGGAACTGATGACCTCAATTTGGAAACCTGGCAAAGTTATGACTATTAAGGAGATTGGCGAAAAAAGATATTTGCTAATCTTTAATCATATTTTGGATATGAATCGTGTGATTGAGGATGGTCCTTGGCTTTTTGAGCGAGATTTGATATTGCTAAAAGTTGTTCAGCCTGATGACATCCCTGAATCAATGAATTTGTTTGAGGCTAGTTTCTGGGTTCAAGTCCATAATGCTCCTATAAAATATAGGAATTTGAGATCTGCTAGGAGAATTGGTAATTTTTTGGGTTCATTTATAAAATTTGAGATGAGCCAATTTGATGGAAGGCAGACTTCTTATTTGAGAATTAGAGTTTCTTTGGATGTGCGTCAACCTTTGAAAAAAGGTACCAACTTGACACAAGATGGAGTTAAGCACTGGGTAGATTTCAAATATGAGAAGTTACCCAATTTCTGCTTCATCTGTGGCATTATTGGTCATTCTGATAAATTCTGTCCGTTAAAGTATGAAGAAGGATTTGTCGCTGAGAAAACATATGGAGTGGAGCTTCGAGCTGGAGGAAGGGTGAAAACCAGTCCTACAGGATTCTACAAATGGACAGCTGCAACAGCTTCTAGTTCGGAAGGGTATGGGGGCCAGTGGAAATCTGATTCTGGAGGAGAATTTTCGGCTGAGTCTAAGGGAATCAAGCCAGCACTAGTTGAGAGCAATAAAGAGGAGGAGATGGCTGGGGAGCTAAAACGCAGGACATGGGAGGTTCAGTCTGGAAAGGGTGCTACTGGTGAAGATATGGTCATGGACGGGGCAAAAAACGGGGTGGAGGCGGGCCTGACTCTCTAGACCCGCCGTGGCTGCAATGGAGGGCTGTGGGAATGAAGACTTGCTTTGGCATTTTTATTTATTTCTGTTTTAAGTTGTTTTATTCGGATTGCTCTGTTATGTTTTTCTGTTATGTTTTTTTTTCCTTGTAAGACAATTCATTAAGGTTGGGGGAGGGAGAGGCTGCGATAACCGTCTTAAGCTCTTTTATGCCCACCATTGGCCTAGCGAGTTATACTGCTTTTGTACAAGTGGTTAGCTCTCAGTCTCGGCCACGGGCGGATGGTTATTTGTGGTTCTTTTCTAGTTTTATCCTCTTGCTGGATGCCATTTTTATGAATTAAGCTTTCTTCGAGCAAAAAAAAAAGAAGTTAAGCAATACTATCAAAAAAGAAGAAGTTAAGCAATAGCAAACATAGCCTAAGTAGAATCGAACTGAATTTAAGAACTTTTTTTACTCCAAGTCTAGAATTTAACTCCTAATTATCCCCGGCCTAGCTGGGTGGTCTTATGCATGCGAGAGCGAGACGCCGATAACGAATTAAAAACGCCGAGATGAGCACTGTAGACGTTCGGCAGTGGCTGGCATGCGGTGGCGGCGGCATCTCCTCCTCCGATTTTGTTTGTGAAGATTTGTCCAGCGAACTTGTTCTCCCTTGTTTCGCGATCATTTTCAGTGATTTTTATTCCGTTGGACTCCTCTACAAAGGACAAGGTTTTAATGTGATTTTTAGCTTCGGTTTTTGGGTAAATCGCAGGGTTAAAAATCTTGCATATATATATATATATATATATAGAATTTTATTCATGTCCGGAATTCCGGACAGGAACCGCCGTCCGGACGGTGGCGTTTGGCCGCCTTCCCGGTGACATTTTTTGATGAAATTTTTATGGCATGTTCTCCATCAAGTCTAGTTTATCCACAAAAAAATTCAGCCAAAAACTCAATTGGGAAGGTCGCCAAATGATTTTTGCAAGTTAACTCGTCCCGAATATGTATTTTCCGGACGAGTAAACTTGCAAAAATCATTTGAGGACCTTCCCGAATGATTTTTTGGCTGAATTTTTTTTGCGGATAAACTAGACTTGATGAAGGACATGTCATAAAAATTTCATCGAAAAATTCCACCCGGAAGGCGGCCAAACGCTGCCGTCCGGACGGCGGTTCTGGTCAGGAATTCTTGACCGGAAGACTACTATATAAAACGCAGTTATCTTCCAAAAATCGTTTGGCCGAAGAAAGTGCAGGTCCGGCAGTCTTCAAACAAGATAGCGAGCACTGAGGATGAAAACATGTCAAGTCCCAAGAGAATTGCTGATTGCCCGATTTCCCACCCAGATCTTTTTGATTCAGATCCCGTTCGCAGCTTTATGAGCGTACGTACCGTACATCTTCTTTTGTAGTTCGATCATCTTATACTATACCATAGAACAGAGTGATTATTTCCACTATCTAGTATATACTTGCCATTAAAAAAATTAATTAGACTTTTCATGTTAATATTTCCCCATTCTATATCTCATTTCATGTCTTTCTTTTTAATGGCAACAACAGCACACCTATATTAGGTCTAGAAAGGAAATACAACTAAGAAGAGAACCATGCCAAAGCCCATAGGGAAAAAGCCAAAAAGGAACATCTTTGGGCACTCCATCTCCCAAAGCACCTTAATTAGTATTATTAAGGTTGTGCAAGGGGGTGGGGTCAGATGTACGCAGCTTTACCCCTGTACTAAAGTATAGAGATTGTTTCTGGATGAGTCACAGTGAAAATCGCGTCGAAAATTGTATAGATTGAGTGCTATTTCATAACAAAAAAGCGAACACAGTTTAGTGAATAGTTTTGCTTTATTAAATTCCAAAGTAAAAAAACAGCGAGTCTTTGGCTCCGTTACAAAGACTGCACAATCACTCTTGAATTACAAGCTTGAATTACATAACAATCACTCTGCACTTGATGGTTAAGTAGTGATTGTGGCACCTAGAAGGCGCGGACTAGGGGTCTCAGCGACGGAGGAGACGTGCCAGGTTGAAGAGACTCGCTTGAAGTCTCCTACGCGTCAGTTGATGTAAAATAGACTCGCCTTAACGCCAGTCCTATTTTTTGCCAACCCCAACATACCTGTTTTAGAGCAGAACCCTATGCCCTTCTACCCTTTAAGCTGTCGCAGGTCACCTCTAAGTTCTTCCGCTTTTAAAAATATAGACATTTTTTCAATTTATGCCGGGTTGGGGCCTCGGTTGGCCTCTGTTGATGTATTCCGTGAGAAAAGCAAACAGGTATCCATCACTGGTTTAACGTTAATTGGGCGGCAAACTGCCACATTAAGTAGAATTCATGTTCTCAACTTATTCAATCTCTTTTTCTTTCCACAGGATTGGTATTTTCGTGAAACAATTGTAGTCTTTTTGTTTCCACAGGATTGGTATTTTCGTGAAACAATCGTAGAGTACGAAAACAAATACGACATGAGGAGGAACAAACATACTTTTTCTGATGATGCCATTGAGGATGCAATGCATCGTATCAAGAATGATATTTTTTGCAGACATATTCTTGAAAAAAGGGAAGATATTGCTTTGCTGAGGTTAGGTTGTGCCTTTTCATTTAGTGCTCAATGTGTTATGTGGTGGATGTTATTATGTGCGATGCAAGTTATAAACTGGTTGGATGATCGTACTTTTAGAGTTAATTATGCATATAGGACCAAAAGTTTAAACTATATAGGACAAATAGAACAAAAAATTAAACTATGTTTTATATGACTAATTATGTGTGTCATGGACAAATATGCCCTTGTAGCTATTGAAATGTTTTAATTCATAATAAAATAATAAAAACTAGTAAAAAATACTAAAAATTTATTTAAAATATTTAAAAATAATAATTTTAAAAAAAATGTTTTAAAGAAATTAAAAACAAATAAAATATAAAAAAAAGGCAACAAGAAAAATCACCGCCGACTCAGCCGCCCCAGCACCACCGCCTATGGTTACCGAAAAAAATGTCACATGCATTATGAATGCCATATTATGGCAGATTAAATGATTTGTTTGGATTCTCAAAGATTAATATGCCATTTTTTTGGCGTTTTTAATAAAAATGGGGATTTTTACACCGATCAGAGTTGGTGCTGCAGGGAGGCAGTACAGGCGGTGGAAAAGGAACCGAATTTAAAAAACGCAAAAAAAAAAACAAAAAAAAAATTGTCGCTGCCTCTGCCATCCAACACCACCACGGTCACCGGGGGCGGGGGTATGCCACATGCATTATGAATGCCATATTTATGACAGATTCCATGAGAATTTTGGCATTTTTAAATAGTAATACGCCACTTTTTAGGCATTTTCAGAAAAAATTGATTTTACACTACTCGGAGGTGGTGGTGCAGGGAGGCAGTACAGGCGGTGGGAAAGACATCCATATATTTTTTATTAATTTATAGATTTTTATTTTTTTTATTAATTTTATTTTCAAATATTTTTTAAATTTTTATTTTTAATTTTTTATTATTTTTTTATTATTTGTTTATGATTTTTTCAATTTTTACGAATTTACTATGAATTAAAGCATTTATCTCATTCTAAATTCTTACCATATGATTGTTTTCTTGCAGCTTGAGTGTACAATTTCAACAGGAAGTTTGTGGTAGATTGAATATAAATTCGTCTTGACAAAGGATGGCAGATGGTTGGTTCGGTTCGAATATGAATAGTGGATGCTTGCAACTCCAGTCAGCTACTCCGTATTTATTATCATTACTAGTTTTTAATACGCGCTTTGCGCGATTGAATAAAATGTCCAATGTACTTTTTATTGAGAAATATGCATATTGTATGATGAGATGATATGATTACTTTTAGAATTTAAAATGTCAATATTTATATCAACTTAAAAATAGAGTATTTAATGTTACTTCATATGAAAGAAGACCCAAAATAAAATAAAATAAATGCAAACCAACAGATGTGCTAGACCCCATTTTTCTAATTTCATAATATGAAGTATCATTAGCATGACGAGAAATATCTAGTATATATCTAACTATTGATGGATCTTACACGATCTAATACGGCCATACGGGGGGAGGTCCTTCACACGATTATACACGAGATATGAAATGAAAGATATAGTAAACGAAGATCAAGAGAAATATAAGATTCACTAATATGCAAAATAAGTATTTTTATTGTTCAAGAGAAAAAAAGGGACTTATTAAGTATTAATTGTTGTATTTGATATGTTTGGTTCTATTCAAACAACTTCACAAATCACCACCAATTTTTTGGATGTAGGATTGAACAAGAAGATCTTCTTTTTTTTTACTCCAGGGCGTGTCTGGGGGAGGGGGGCTGGGGAGAGCCTGGAGTAATCAGGGCTGAAACCCACTCCATTGAGTTTCACACCCTTGTGTGCCTAGCGGGATTCGAACTCAAGACCTCCTACTAGGCACGGTAACCTCACAACCAGTTGAGCTGGAATGCTTGGTTGATTGAACAAGAAGATCATTTAACTATTAGTTACAAATCCTCAATAATTAACATCTGTGACTAAACTTTAAATAGCCATTGTATTATTCTGCATTGTGAACAGTCATGCCACTTTTAGGTGAACACAAGTTATTCTATTTGTCAAATGTTCATCTGTAAATAGTACTACCTCGACCCCTCTATACCATTTTATGTTTCTTAATTTTGTTGGGCACAAAGTTGAAAATTACCTATGAAAACATAAAGTGTAAAAGGATAGAAAATAAGATGAATACACTTCTGTTGCGCGTTAACATCAAAATTCACTCTCCTTGCTTCTGTTCTCACCCTCTTCTCGTGCTCGCTCAATACACTTTTTCCTTGTTTTTTGTGAAATTGTGTTTTTCACAAACCCACCACATTTGTCTACGTTGTTTTATCAAATATTAAAGAGTTTACTTTTACACGGTGTGTATCCATTGTGTTGTGATTTTAGGGTGATTCTTTGAATATAGAAAGAATATAGATTAAGAGCCTGTTTGATAACGTTAAAATTGGTTTAATCGTCTTATTCTATTGAGATTTATGATGTTCTTGTTAAAGTGGCTGGATTTACTGGTTCTGATGATTTATGAAATGTTATATTTAAAATATATTTATCAATAAAGTAGGTAAAAAGTCATTTACTGGTTTTCATAAGTGCTCTAGAAGTTTTGTCATGCTTCATGAAGGCGGCCCTACCTCACGCTCATATAGGTGATATCATCAAGTGTGTATCGCTTTTGCACATCATCCTTAAATTAAGGGCTATGATAATCATTAAGAGCTTTTAGCTCACCCTCTCAAAGAATGCGGCTTCTAGCATATATCTCACATCATGGTAATGGACAATTTTAGTTAGACCGGCAGAACTAAATGGAAAACTTGTTATTACCCATTTGAACTTGCTTCATGAGATCTCTAATCACACAAGTTGGGTTCCTATCCCCATTTGTTTCAACTTGAGCCAATTAAGTCTGAAAAGTAACTCCAAATCACTTAGCAGAGAAACATGGAATGGGAGGCAACGATAAAAACAACGTGATGCATTACTGGCACAACATGTACAAACGTATATTTCACATAAGCGCCTACTCTCATTCATATTTATTAGGTAGTAGTTCTTTAATAAAACATAGCTATCGAATTAAACTTCGAGTTGTTTTAACCCTTTGAAATTTCATCAGTCTAAGACCTGAAAGATAGATTAATTATCAATGTGAGACTTCTTCGAGTTGTTTTAACCCTTTGAAATTTCATCAATCTAGGGCCTGAAAGATAGATTAATTATCAATGTGAGGCTTGAAAGATGAACGTGACGGTATATAAAATTCATGACATTTTAGGTCCTAGATTGATAATTTCAAAATCTGTTTGGATAGAAAAATTCTGTATATAAATTACCTAATTTGTTAGGTTTATGTTATTGATTGTATTTGTGAGAGAATAAATAGAATGTCCGCTACTTAGGATGTTTTTACTTGGACTGTAATTCGTCCCAGATCAGACCAGATCAGTGCAAATCAGACCAGACCAGACCAGTTCAGACCAGACTTGGATAGTTATAAAAATACAAAGAGACCAGACATTACCAGATCAGACCAGACCAAACCAGTTCAGACCAGTTCAGACCAGACCAAATCAGATCAAATCAGATCAGACCAGCAAATTAAATCATGCCATTTACATTAATGGGAGTATAAATAATGACACAAAATTAAATGGGGAAATGTGAATTACCGCCATGTATTACAATATTATTTGATTGAAATATTGGTTATGATGAGAAAAATCCAAATTAAATTAAATAGTCTTCGTTCTTACGACTCGATCAGATCTAGGCTATAGCTGTTTCAATTCGGACACCCTAGAAATGAATCTAAATTCCAAATTAAATTAAAATTAAAAGCAAACTATTAAATGAAAAAAAAAAATCTTAGACGGAAGGAACAACTGAAGTCGTTGCAGAGATGGCAAAAGTCTAAACGCTTGGACTTTGACGGACTTTAACGGAGGAAAACATGGGTATAATTGTATAAATGGCTAAAGTGTCAAATAGGTACATGAACTAACTTAAAGTGTTCAATTAGCCCCTTATATAGGAGGTTCTGCCCGGCCATCGCCAATTGGGGCAGTTCACAGTTGAATTTTTTGATAACATTTTTTGAGCATCTTCTTCATCAAGTCTAGTTTACTCATATCAAATTTCATCTAAAAATTAAATCGGGAAGGCAGTCAATTGATTTTCCGAAATGTACTGCGCTATTTAACTGCGCAGTTATCTTCAAAAAATCATTTGACTGCCTTCCCGGATGAATTTTTAGCTGAAATTTGGTATGGGTAAACTAGACTTAATGAAGAAGTTGCTAAAAAAATTCATCAAAAAATTCCACCGGGAATCGCGTCAATTGGCGACGGCCGGGCAGAACCTCCTATATAAGGGGCTAATTGAACACTTTAAGTTAGTTCATGTACCTATTTGACCATTTAGCCGGGTATAAATATATGGTATAATGATTGGAGCATAATGTACAAGAGCATGTTGTTTTGTGTTACACCAACACATTTAATATGTCAAAAATATCCTAACCCTCATTGATGTTTATAACATTTTATTTAGATTAGATTTTAGATAAGTATGTATCACACTTGTGTAGTCATTATTTATTCACTCTCGTTTGAGTGAATAGCTAATACGAAGTACTTAGTATTACTAATATTTGTTTTCACTTGGTTACGAACTTAATGAAGTGGTAATGGGTGACTTTGAACAAGTGAAATTGAATATGAAGTATATCACAAACTAATTGTGGTTGGATACGTGGACACACAAAAAAAAAACTATGCTCGATCTGCATCTGGGAGAGCCGCATCAGAATAGTAGGCCTCGTTAATCGTGTGTGCTTCGTTTCTTATTGTACATCGAAATTGGTTAACCTTTGACGGTTGGAAACTCCAACTAGATGCCTGGCTTTAATTCCATGAAATCCATCAAAGATACTTCGTAGTATTTACTTCTTGGGACCTTAGTCTATTAAATCAATATAAGAGCACTATAAAACATATATATACAGAGCATTAGATAGATATATTTTGATTTGGGCTAAAGTTACATTTTTTATTAAAACAATTTATATTTCGATTTAGTATAAGTTACATTTGAATTAAGACAATTTACATTTTTGATTTACCATAAATTACATTTCAATTAAAGTGATTTACATTTTTTATTTTCCTCAAGTTACATTTCTTATACCCTCGAATTACATTTCAATTTACGTAAAGTTACATATCATAACAAGTGGTTTACATTTGCCGCTCACTGAAGTTACATGTGTAATTATGTGAGATACATTTCATTACAAAGGATTTACATCACGAAATTAATTGGGGAGAATTCACAGTCACTGTTCACCCGCGTTTTTTTATGTACTTGACAAGTTACATTTCGACTGGACTTGAGTTATATAAATCAATAACGTGGGTTACATTTCTTTACACGCGAGTTACATCATTTATACTACTCGGACAAAAAAACAGTTATTGTACATGCGTGTATTGTTCACGCCTCACTGTTCACGCGAATTTTTTAAAAAAATATATATACAAAACTATGTCGTTTTGGGTGTGGGAGCACGGTGCTCACCGTGGGGTGATACCACGGTATACGAACTGCCTAACATTTAGTTCGTATACCGTGGTCCTCACGGGCAGTCTTGGACCTGGACCGGAATTAGTGCTGGTGGGTCCGACTTAGGTTACAAAAATAGGGACCAGACTGGGCGGTCCCAATTCGATCCCAACGGTCAAGTATAGCCCTTGCAAGGGCTATAATGGTGTTGTGGATGGGGTTTCGGTAATTTTGAGGTGGGGGGTCAAAACCAAGGGCGGATCTACCGTATAAGGAGCGTAAGCACAGGCTAGACCTCAAAATATGTTGTTAGCTTGTTTGGTTGTTGCAGGGTAGTAAAATTCTTCTTAGGCTACAAGTTGAACGATCGGAACTCGGTGGTGCTACACTTGAGTTTCATTAATCTTTAATCAACTAACTAGTATAGTACCCGTTCATACGCACGGGAAAGAACATTTGATGCATATATTTTTACTCACAATTTAATTAATATTAAAATAAAAATACTTTGTAGAATTCAACATTTTTGAAAAATAAGAGTACAATAGGCTAATACCATAGAATATAAGTCCATTGAATGCATATTCAATGAAGAGTATATTAGGAAAAATCAATTGACACCATTCATTAATTTGCTACTTATTAATTTTCATGATTAAATTAAATTTAAAATTAAATATTATTCTTAAAAAGTGAGAACAATAGGTGAGTGACATAAATTTTAGGTGAGTACAATAAATATTAAAATTAAAGAATAATATTAGTTAAACAGAAGTTGCTACTCATCAGTTAAATTAGTGACATAAATTTTAAGTGAGTACAATAAAAGTGAGAACAATAGGTGAGTGACATAAATTTTAAGTGAGTACAATAAATATTAAAATTAATGAATAATATTAGTTAAACAGAAGTTGCTACTCATCAGTTAAATTAGTGTTACCATATGAGAGAGAAAATTATTTTGACAAATTCTCAACTGTTTATCTTATGCCTAAAAAATGAGAGAAAATTCTCTCGCTCAATTTTTAGTTGGATTATCTTTATACCTAAATGCACTACAAATGAGAGAAAAAAAATCTACAACTTAATTGTTAGCAGGTCTATCTTGTACTTAAAATAACTACCTATATATGAATTCCCCCGCTCAATTGTTATTTTATCATTCCCCGCTCAACTGCTAGCAAACTTATCTTCTAATACCCAAAAACACTACATGTGAGAGAGAAAATTCACCCGTTGAATAATTAGCAAGTTTGTCACTACAAGAAAGTTTGCCTATAATGAGGGGAAATAATGTGGTTAAAAGTCCATATCCCGTCATAGAAGACATTTTGTGATGGAAAATATCTTATCATGACCTCTCATTACTGCTTCCGTAGTTAAAAGTTTTTAATGACGGGAAAGGAGTCCAGTCATTAATAAGCTATAATGAGAGTAAATATACCGTCATTAGAAGCAACTTCTAGTTACCATAAATCCTCTCATTAATACCACTACTTGCCTCTCATTACTCAAAAACACAATTTCACACAATTCATGAAATATAATTACTATTTGTTCCACATTAATAAAATTTTAATATTTTTATCATTAATTAGTGTTTGATCATCGTAGTTGATTTGGTGTAGTAATCAAAATTGTAGCAAATTTGCATACATTTAATGAGATAAACTCTCAATAAGAAAGAACATTCTTATACACGTTTAGGAATGAAAAAATTGCTTGAGCTCTAACGACGAAAGTTTTTTTACCCTCATAAAAGGTAAGATTAGATACACATTTAATGAGAGGATTTTGTTACTCTCACTAATTTTCGTCACTATTAATCCATTTTCTTGTAGTGTGTCTTGTTATATAAAAGAGCAAAAATTCATACCAATAATGTGTACTACAATAATCGCAAAAATGCAACAAATAATCCAAACTTATAAATAGCTTCACATAAATAGACTAAATAAAAAGGAGGTAAGTAGGTAACGGTTTGTTTGATTTACTTCATCACCGACTCACCGTGGACCGTTCTTTTTCTTCTTCTGCATATACTCATCCCCGTCACTCACTCTAACACTAACCTCTTTCAACAGATTTTTTCCATCATCATCAAACGCTTGATTTTGTGCTTTATACTTCAATTGGTTGAGCTTTGTGCTACACCTATCTTTTTACTTGTCCAGTAGGGGCATGAAGAATCTAATTGAGAATATTGCAATTTCATGAGATTCAATTTTACTTTTGGGAGCTGGTCTTTTACTTTTTTTTGTATTGGGACTAAATAAGCTCACGCGCTCCTCTAAATTTAGAAGTTCTTCACCTTTAAAATTAGGGATTTTACCAATCATATAGTTTAATATTCACAAAAGAGAAGAAGAAGAAGAATACGGCCATGTGAGAAGGAAGAGGAGCACGGCTAACCAAATCCATAGGTTAAATCTAGGAGATGAAGTGAATTGCTGGCAATGATTATAGCATGATATGGAAAAAAATACTTTGTAAAGTGTTTGGTATATATGGAAAATTGAAAGAAAAAAACAAAGATAAGACAGCCGATGAGGAACATGGGTATTCGCAGAAGAAGAAAACTGATGGGTGGGGTAGATGGGATGAGGATATATAAAACAGAAACATTAACTCCTTTTCACAAAACATGGTCACTTTTCTTGGTCAACCATAATAAACTTCGGAACATTTTTATATAATTTTCATATTTGAAATAATTATATATTATAAAATTTAAAGGGTCAAACTTGGAAATCATTGACCAAGAAAAGTCAATATAGCCAAGTTTTATGGTACGTAGGGAGTATTTATATCAATTTCTTTAGTATGGATTATTATTGTAGAACAGCTCAAAGTACAGATTATTGGTGTGAATCACCTATAAAAAAAACTACATATGAGAGAGAGAAATCTCATATTCAATTGTTAGTCAGTTTACGTTATACCTAAAAACATTACATATGGGAGAGAAAATTTTTCTCATCAATTGTTAGCAGAATTATCTGATACTTAAAAAGAACTACATATGAGAGAGAAATTTCTCCCACCCAATTGTTAGCAAGCTTATCTTCTTAGCTTCTTATACATAAAAACACTACATATGAGAGAAAAAATCAAAAAATTATCTCGTTCAATTGTTAGTTGTCTTATTTTAGAGTTAAAAGAACTATGTATGAGAGAGAAAGTTATCCAACTTAATTGTTTGAAAACTTGTCTTCTAATACCTAAAAACCCTACATATAAGAGAAAAAATTATCTCGGTCAATTGTTAGCAACTTATTTTCTAATATCTTAAAGCATTACATATGAAAGAGAAAATTCTTCCGTTCAATTATTAGTAGTATTGTCTTCTTGCACCTAAAACTCTTACATTTAAGAGAAAGTCCTCACGCTCAATTGTTAGCCGGCTTATTTTATACGGAGTACTTAAAAGAACTATATATCAGAGAGAAAGTTCTTTCGTTCAATTGTTATCTGGATTATTTTATATTATACTAAAAACACTACATATGAGAAAGAATATTCTCTTGCTAAATTGTTAGCAAGTTTATCTTCATAGCTTCTTGTACCTAAAAACAATACAAATGAGAGATAAAATTATCTCGTTCAATTGTTATTTGACTTATCCTATACTTAAAAGAACTATATATGCACCAGCTACTACATATTAGAGAGAAATTTATCCCGTTTGAATAATATCTTTATAATATGTAACTGACTCAAAAAAAATAAATATACTTAAATTTGGTTACTATTGTGGACTTCCAATTCAATGCATACAAACAAGATAGTAATCTCCATTGATCAAATATTATTTCTAAAAAGATCTCTATAATATAATGAATTTGTGAAAAGTGTCTGAACATAGTGGGAAGGACGGGACTACGGAAATATTGGGAGGGGAGCCTCCCAGCCAGGAGAATAGTGATGGCAACGGGGCGGATCGGGGACGGGTACACATAAAACCGGAACCGCCCCGTTGGATAAATGTTTGCCCCAAAACCGCCCCATTACCCATTCGGGTAATTTTTATTTGAACCGTACCCGCCCCAATGGGGAATCAGTTTATCCACGGGTAACCGTTTCCCCAAATGATACCAAATAACCAACTTTTTTTGGGAAAACGAATAACCAATTTTTAATCCTACTTGTTATTTATATATTCAAAGCACCCTAAAAAAGACAAAAATAAACATTTAAGCAATCAAGCAGACTGACCTAAATTCATTAGTATGACATGCACCCAATATCTCTTATAACATAATAAAAAAGTAGTAATCATCCCAGAATCCAAATTTCAAAAATAGGTTTAGGCCTATATTTAGTTATAGGCCTAAAAAAGTAGTATACTTTTTAGCATTATTTATATGATATATACTATTTATTATACACAATTTAGCATATATAGTTATTATTCTTATATATATAAAGTTATAATTTATTAATAATGTTATCGATCGGGTAACGGTGCGGGTACCCGCACCACTAGTGAACGGGGCGGTTTCGGGGCGGATAATGGGGTGGATTAGTATAGAACCATAACCGCACCATTAACCATTTAAAAAATTCGGGTATTCCCCGCCCCATACCCATTCCCCAGTCAAACCGGTTTTCCCCAGTTTGACCAAATCGGTTCGGTGCGGGTATCCAACGGGTCGGTCGAAATTGCCATCTCTACAGGAGAAGCTTGAGGTGGGAGTGTCTGAATTAGTGAAGGAAGGAGTAATGGCTGAAGAGGAAGTTATTGAGGAGGTCAATAATGATACACACCCAGTTACAGATGAAGGGGGGGGTAGGGGAGGTAACAACCAATGTTACCAAATTAATATCTTTTGAAGAAGGCAATGTGCAAGGAAGTGAGGAGCATATCATTATGGATGGAGTTGTTTCGGATGGGGAGCAAATCAATTTGGAGGACTCTACGGTTGAGTCTTGGAGATCAGTTTGTGCGGAGCTCAGAAAGAAGGTGGAATTGATGGAGAAGGAACAAGCACAAGCACTGCAAGTGATGGGACGGAGAAAACCCAAAGAGGCTCCTCCTCGATCGGTTGGAGGCCAAGAGGAACAATGGGGATAATACCCTAGAGGTTTCCATATGAAGCTCATAAGTTGGAATGTGCGTGGTCTTGTTTCTGCTTGTCCAAGACTACGCAAAATTGTTAGGCAGCATTTGCTAAATTTTAGGGATTACTATCATCGAGCCTATTATTAATTCTTCAAATGGAGGTTTTTATTCTACCAGTCTAGGATTCTCAAATAAGATTTGGCTTATGTGGAACGCCTCGGATTTTTATGTGATCTATATTGAGGATAAGGATCAATTTTTGGTTGTTACTATGAAGTTTATCCCCTGGATTTTGTATTCACCTATTTCCCTGTTTATGGAAAACATACTAGGACGGAAAGAGAGCAGTTATGGAACGGGATGAGGGGGTTTGCAGAAGCTGTTTGGGGACCGTGGCTTCTGGGAGGGGATTTCAACGTTGTTGCTGATTATAAGGGGCCATCTGTTCCCCGTGCGGCTGACATGAGGGATTTCAGAAATTGTATGGAGTATTGTCATCTTATGCAGCCTCCTATAGTTGGTTCTTCCTATACTTGGACTGGAGTTCGGGCTAATGGGCGGATTTGGGAAAGATTGGACAGGTTTTTGGTGGATCAGGAATTTTTGGATGCTTTTGATAATGTAAATGTTCATCATTTGAGTAAAATGCCATCCGATCATTGCCCCATTCTCCTCATTTGTGAGACTCAACTGATTAGAGGTCCGGCTCAGTTTTGATTCCAAAACATGTGGTTTACGAATGAAGATTTTCTTTCCTTCGTGAAAAGGGAGTGGAATGAATATCCTACGATCGGGGGTGTTATCAGATATAGTAGTAATGAGGAATGGAAGATATAGTAAGAGGGTTAAGACCCTATATATAGGTTACAAAGAAGGAATATTCCTACATAAGATGCTATACTATAATAATGTCTAGAGTATATTCCTAAAGCATATTCTTATATAGAATATTCCTACATAAGATGCTATACTATAATAATGTCTAGAGTATATTCCTAAAGCATATTCTTATATACAATAATTCTTTCACACTCCCCCTCAAGTTGGAGCATAGATATTTATCATGCCCAACTTGTTACATAAGTAATCAACACGAATCCCATTTAGAGCTTTGGTGAATAAATCTCCAAGTTGTTCTCCAGTCTTCACATATTCGGTAGAGATCAATCCTTTTTGTATCTTCTCTCGAATAAAATGACAATCAACTTCAATATGCTTTTTTCTCTCGTGAAATACGGGATTGTTTGCTATGTGTATAGCAGCTTGGTTATCACACCACAATTTAGCAGGCATTGATGTCTTCAATCCGAGTTCAGTCAATAAATGGCTTATCCATATGATCTCACATGCAGATTGTGCCATAGCTCGATATTCTGATTCAGCACTCGAACGAGAAACCACATTCTGTTTCTTACTCTTCCAAGATACAAGATTACCACCAACAAAGACGCAATAACCAGATGTAGATCTTCGATCATCTTTAGAACCGGCCCAATCAGCATCTGCAAAACACTCTATTCTCATGTGATCATGGTTTTGATAAACAATACCTCGTCTTGGTGCACCCTTTAAGTAACATAATATGTGTTCTACAGCAGCCCAATGATCAATGGTTGGGGATGACATGTATTGACTCACTACACTCACAGAATACGCAATATCTGGGCGAGTGACTGCGAGATAATTAAGCTTTCCAACCAGTCTTCTATATCTTTCTGGGTCTTCAAACGGTGTGCCTTCTTGAGTGAGTTGAACGTTGGGAACCATGGGTGTTGTACTTGGTTTTGCCCCTAATTTCCCGGTCTCAGCTAGTAAGTCAAGTACATATTTTCGTTGAGATAGAAATATGCTTTTCTTACTTCGTGTTACCTCAATTCCCAAAAAATATTTCAATGAGCCAAGATCTTTCGTCTGGAATTGGCTGTGCAGAAAATTCTTTAGGGCCAAGATACCTGCATTATCACTCCCTGTAATCACAATATCATCAACATACACCACAAGCAATGTGATACCTGCTTGCGTTTGTCTGTAAAAGACAGAGTGATCTGATTGTCCTTTTTTCATTCCAAACTGTTCAATTGTTTGACTGAATTTCCCAAACCATGCACGCGGACTTTGTTTCAAACCATAAAGAGACTTGCGAAGTCGACAAACTTTCCCATACTCCCCCTGAGCAACAAACCCTGGAGGTTGCTCGATATAAACTTCCTCCTGAAGGTCACCATGCAAGAATGCATTTTTAATGTCTAACTGATGCAAGTGCCAACCATGAGTTGCTGCGAGTGAAATAAGTAACCTGACAGATGTTAATTTAGCAACAGGAGAAAAAGTGTCAGAATAATCTACACCGTAGGTTTGAGCATAACCCTTCGCAACTAATCGAGCTTTCAACCGAGCAATAGATCCATCTGGATTGACCTTCACAGCAAAGACCCACTTACATCCAATAGATTTCTTCCCTGTAGGCAAGTATACCAAATCCCATGTACCATTAAGATCCAAAGCATTCATTTCTTCTATCATGGCAAGACGCCATTCCGGATGAGCCAAAGCTTCTTTAACAGATTTGGGAATAGAAATAGAATCAATGGAGGCAATAAAAGAGCATGAGGTAGATGATAACTGACTGTACGACACAAAAGAAGAAATAGGATGAGTACAAGATCGTGTACCTTTGCGCAGTGCTATCGGGAGGTCAAGATCTAATGTACAGACAGGATCTGGAGATGCAGTTATTGGTTCAGGACATGAGGTCGAGATCGGATCAATATCAGGATAAGGAATCACAGGCGGGGGAAGATCTGGTGCTTTGTGTCGACGTGTGTATACCAATTGTATTGGAGGCCTGGGGTCGGAAACAGTAGGATGTGGAGTAATTTCCGAAGCAGTGGACTCAGGTATGGTGACTGTGTAAATGAGTATATCATCATTCTCCCTACAAATATCTGCCTCTGGAGATGAATAAGGTGTATTCTCATAAAATGAGACATCAATCGAAACAATATATCGACCTGTACTTGGACAAAAACATCTGTACCCCTTTTGAACTCGAGAATAACCTAAGAAAATGCACTTTAATGACTTGGGATCTAACTTTGTTAAATGAGGATTAACATTGCGAACAAAACAAGTGCAACCAAATATTTTAGGCGGTATAGGAAAAAGTTCATTATTTGGAAATAGGCACTAATACGGAGTTTTACCGTCCAAAACAGTAGATGGCATTCGATTGATCAAAAAACATGCGGTAGACACAGCATCCGCCCAAAAATGTTTAGGCACATTCATTTGGAAAAGAAGCGCACGCGCAGTTTCTAAAAGATGTCTGTTCTTTCGTTCTGCCACACCATTTTGAGGAGGCGTGTCTACACATGAAGTTTGATGAATTGCCATGTTGAGCCATATACAACTTAAACGAGGCAGACAAATACTCTTGAGCATTGTCTCCTCTTAAAACACGAACAGGAACATTAAATTGAGTTTTTATTTCAGCACAAAAGGCACAAAAATGAGAAAACAACTCAGAACGCCGTTTCATAAAGTAAATCCAAGTCATACGAGAGTAATCATCAACAAAGGTAACAAAATATTTAAAGCCAATTTTAGACACAACGGGGCAAGCTCCCCAAACATCAGAATGAACAAGTTCAAAAGGAGCATGTGCTCGTTTATTGACTCGAGGGCTTAAACTAGTACGATGATGTTTTGCAAATTGACACGAATCACACTGTAAAGACGACACCTTATTAAATTGAGGATGGATTTTCTTCAACAAAGGGAGAGATGGATGTCCTAGTCGATAGTGAGCCTCTAACACAGATCCAACCCCAAGACAGGAGATGGTTTTAGGTAAGGATGTGTCCAAAAGATAGAGACCAGCCGACTCATATCCTTTACCAATAATCTGATTCGTCAACAGATCCTGAAATACACAATATCCAGGAAAAAAGGTTACAGAACAGTTTAGTTTACGCGTGATTTTACTGATCGAAATCAAATTAAAAGCAAAGTTTGGAAGACTTAGGACAGGTGACAAAGGTAAGGTGGATGTTGGGACAATTGTTCCCGATCCTAAGACTGGGGAGGTAGACCCATCAGCTAAAGTGACAGTAGAAGTATGAAGAGGTGTGTGGAATGAAGAAAAAAGATTAGGATTACCTGTCATATGATCGGTTGCTCCTGAGTCGATGACCCATTTTGAGGATGAAGAAACAAGACATGTGTTTGGATTACCTGAATTAGCGACAGCTGAGATAGGAGTAGATGAATGCTTTAGAGTCTCTTGGTAGCAAAGAAATTTGGCGTATTCCTCAAAAGACATACTGATTGATCCATCAGAAGACTTTGTAGCGGAAGCAATGTGAGCAACTTGATTTCCTTGATTTTTGAATTTTAATTTTCTACAATCTTTGATCAAGTGTCCAGGCTTCTTACAGTAGTTGCATACTATGCCTTTGCCAGATGGACCAGTACGTGGCCATTTCTCACCTCCTTGGGTAAACGTTGGAACTTGCCCTACAAATGCACTGTTTGACTGAGGTGCTACTGGCGTGGATGAAGTATCGGTGCGAAGCACTCTAGTGAAAGATTCTTGAAGAGAAGAGACCTCATCACTAGATAAGATATGTGATTTGGCTGTTTCAAATTCAGATGTTAGACCAGCCAAAAAACTCATCACTGCCATTTGTTCTCTTTGTTTTTGCTGCACTTTGATATCAGGACTAAATGGCATTAATGTATTCAGCTCTTCATAGGTTTTCTTGAAATCCATAAAATAAGCCGTGAGAGGCTTATCTTTCATTTCCGCTCTGTAAAAGGCTTTGCACACCTCATAGATGTGGTTAAGATTACCTTTTCCAGAGTACATAAATTCCAAATAATCAAACAATTCTTTCACAGTATCGCAATGACTAACATACCCCATTACCTCATTCTCCATTGAGTTTTGAATTTGGATAAATAATCTAGAATCGTCACGAAGCCAGGCAGTATTAGCAACTCTATCAACCTCCTCCTTTGGCGGGTCATCAACTAAGTGAGTATATTTATCAATGCTCCTTAAATAGCGTTTGATAGTTTTACTCCATTCAAGATAATTAGAGCCACAAAGTTTATTCTCAGTAATTTTAAAATTAATGGGAATAACTTCAGAAACTATCAAAGGCTGACTTTGTGTTACAGTGGAGGTGTCAGAACCAGGCATTTTTTTTTTCTTTTTCTTTTTTTTTTTTGAAACTGTAATAAAATTCAAAATTGAGATATTTAATTTAATGAAAACTTACAGCAGCCCGTTTTGGGCTGGAATAAAAATCCAGAGGCACGTCTGACTTGGGTGCTGATTTGGAACTGCAGACTGCGAGCACCTGGCACAGATGGGGGATATGGTCTGCACAAAGGTTCTGAATAGAGGGGGGCTAAAAAAAAATCTGTCCTGGAGTGAGTTTCTGGGAGACAGAATGGTGCCTAGAGGTTCTGGAGAGTCTGAGCTGAAATCAGGTTTCTTTGAGAAAGAACCCAGTCTGAAAAACTAAGCTGAAATTTAAAAGAAAAAGGAACTAAATCTTTCCTAATGCTCTGATACCATGTTATCAGAATTAAGCATATAGTAGTAATGAGAATGGAAGAATTTTGTGTGTTTAATATAAGAGGGTTAAGACCCTATATATAGGTTACAAAGAAGGAATATTCCTACATAAGATGCTATACTATAATAATGTCTAGAGTATATTCCTAAAGCATATTCTTATATAGAATATTCCTACATAAGATGCTATACTATAATAATGTCTAGAGTATATTCCTAAAGCATATTCTTATATACAATAATTCTTTCACAGGGGGTATGAGAGGGATGGTTTTGAAGTTGAAGGCTCTTAAGGCGGATTTAAAGGTCCGGAATAAAAATGTTTTTGGAGATGTATTTAAAGACATTAAGAGACTAGAGCTGGAGTCTATTGAGGCGGAGAAGAACTTTGAGAACAACCCTTCGGAGGACAACAGATCGCAATGTCATTATAAACAAGCTCTCCTGCTAAAAAGAATTAAACAACGGGATATGTATTGGAAACAGAAGACTAGAGTAAATTGGATTCGGGAAGGGGATGCCAACTCTAAATTTTTTCATGCAGCGGTAAAAGACAAGAAGAGAAAATAATTTATTTGCGCCATTAAAAATTCCGCAGGAGAGTGGATTTATAATGCAAATGAGATTGGGGAGGAAGTTGTGACCTTCTTTAAGGATTTATTCAGTTATGAACACACATATGGGTATGAAAAAATTTTGGACTGCATCCCTAGTATTGTGTCGGAGGATCAGAACATCGAATTAATTAAAATGCCCAACGAGCAGGAGGTTAGAGAGGCGGTTTGGGGTCTTAGTGAGGAGGCAGCGCCGGGACCGAATGGTTTTGGAGGCTCTTTCTATAAAGGATGCTGGGAAATCATTAAGCATGACGTGCTATTAGCTGTTCGGGATTTCTTCTTGGGTATGGTTGTACCAAAAGGTATCAGTAGTGTAAATATGGTCTTAATCCCTAAAAAGAAAAACCCTTCTCATTTCAGGGATTTCAGACCGATATGACTCTCCACTTTTCTTAGTAAGGTGAATACTAGAATTCTTACTACCCGTATGGCTTCTATTTTACCTCAACTTATCTCTACAGAACAAGCCAGTTTTATGAAGGGTAAGGAAATACAATACCAAGTTCTATCGGCATTGGAGGTTCTGCATCATTTAGACAAGAAAGTGTGTGGATCAAATATAGCTATAAAACTTGACATGGCTAAAGCATTTGATCGGGTTGCCTGGGGTTTCCTAGATGGTATTCTGGATAAATTTGGATTCCTAGAACATTTTAGGAGGATTATCATGGGTAATCTCAGGGCAACGCACATTTCTATTATAATTAATGGGGCTTCCTACGGATATTTTCAGCCTCATCGAGGTGTCAAACAAGGGGATCCGTTATCTCCTATCCTATTCATTATAATGTCCGAGGCTTTCTCTAGGGGATTAAATCATTTGATGGCTAAAGGAAAAATTGGAGCTTACAATTTGGGACGTTCTCCATCTATGTCTCATCTAGCGTTCGCGGATGACTTGCTTATAATTCTAAATGGTTCAGTTAGCTCTATTCGCAGTTTTAATAAACTTATCCAAGTATATCAACAAGCGACTGGGCAACTTATAAATAAAGACAAGAGTTGTTTTGTGGCTGGCAAGCACACCTCAGCAGGCAGAATGGCTAATATTAAACATGAACTGGGTATGAAGGCTACATCTTTGCCTTTTAAGTAGTTAGGGGTGCATGTTCACAAGGGTATTAGCCGGTTGGGCCATTGTATAGATATTCTTCAGGCTTTTGACAACAAGCTAAGCTCGTGGGGTCAGAAAATGCTCTCCCAAGGTGGGAGGCTCATTTTGATAAAAACATGTGTTGTGCTCCATCCCTTTGCATATTCTTGCGGTCACATGTATCCCTCAGGCTGTTATAAATAAGAAAATTTCTAATTTCTTTTGGGGCTTCATGGAAAATAAACCTAAACAGCATTGGATTTCTTTATATAAAAAATGTGTAGACCTACTGAAGTAGGAGGGGTGGGTATCACGTCTTTTATTCACACACAGAAAGTGACAGCCCTAAAAATATGGTGGGAGTACCAAGCAGGGGATTCGAATTGGGCTGCTCTAATGAGGAAAAAATACGGGGGTAGAGCTTTGGGGGAGGCAAAATCAATGGATTCTCCAACCTGGAACGGCTGGAAGGCTATATGCCATATCTCGGAGGAGGCAGAGACTATGGTTGATCGGCAGGGATGGATTTAGGGGGGGGCGCGGGGGGCGACCGCCCCCCTTGGACATTCAATTTTTTTTACCATATATGTAATATTTTCATAAAACTTTCATAATTTAATTATATTCGCCCCCTTAGCTTTTAATTTTCAAAATTAGTATATAGTCTTACATAATGTAATACTTAATTGAAGATTTAAAAGAAGAAACATCTAAAATAATTTACATAACTTAAACAAATAAACAATAGAGTAACTCGTTATTTAAGATTTAGGATACTTATTATATAAGAATTCCTAGTTTTGTAATGTTTAATTATCTTTATTAGATAACAAGTACAAGATTTTGTAAAACATATATCAAACAATATTAAATACTAGACACACTAATTACACAATTTTTAGATCACGTGAAATGAATCCAAAATATAAATATTTATAGACATCAGATTACATAATTCATTTACGTCTTGCTTTCTAAAAATAATTTACTGCATGGATAGATGATAAACTTTAAATTATTATAGAATTAATAAAAAAATTAAAATATAATATGCACCATATATGTGTGTGTGTATGTGATGCATATTATTCTAAAAATAACAATCTCATACATACTAGTATACTACTATTGTAATATTAAGAAAACTTCTCATGAGTCATGACTCACGAACACCCTCCTTGGTGGACAAAAATTACAATTCAATAACTGATTCATGAGGTTAAACAATGTAGAAGTTATTAAAAATGTATTGGTTGATGTCTTTGGCATTGTCTAAACTTAGAATGTAATAGATTTAAATGCCGGTTGGGGATGTGCAAGTATTAATGTCATTTTTTGAATAAAAATAGCCGCATAGCCCTACAGTAGCAAAAAAAATTCGCCCCGCTACACTAGGGGAAAAAATTTCACCCCGCTACACTAACAAAAAAAAATCACCCCCTACACTAACAAAAAATTTCGCCCCCCTTGACTCAAAATCCTGGATCCGTCCCTGTTGATCGGGGAGGCGCCACTCTCAAGTGGAAGCACACCTCAGATGGGATTTTCGCATATAAATCAGCATATAAGGCTATCACTAGGGGTGGGTACAAAAAACCGTAATCGTGTAACCGTCTAAAAAACCGTATAACCGTCAATTTTTCGGTTAACCGTACCATTTTTAAAACAAAATTACGGTTCAGTTAACCGATGAAATGGAAAAAAATCCCACGGTCGGTTCACCGTTAACCGATGAAATGTAATCGATTTACTGAAATCGATCCATCCTGTATCCACTATCCAGGACTACAGGTACGGCGCTCTCTGCCAGGTCCAGAGCTCCATTTGTAAAAAAAACGATGTCTTTCTTCTTCCATCTTTGTCTAGAGCCGCCGACCTGATCTATCAGGGCCATCGATCTCTTCCGCTCCAAACGGGTGTTTCATCCTCCGCCGCTCGACCAACGGAAAACGAAGCCGGCGATTTGATTTAGTTTAGGCGAGCTCTTCTACTACATATCCAGGTATTTTATCCTCCATTGTTCACATTCAATATTTGATTCGATCCCCTTGAATTATACAGATCTATTTGTGACCCCTTCTATTTGACGAAGTGTGCAGTTTTTCTAATTCGTAGGGATGTCTGTTTTAGTTAGAAACTGATTGTTAGGAGTAAAGGCAGGCAATTACCTACACGTTCCACCAAGCTAGGATGAATGGTGAGGTTTTAAATGATTTAACATATAAGTTCTAGTTTTATGTTAACACTGGTCTAGTCTTGTATTTCTGCTGCATTGATCACATTCTTACATCAGGCCGGTTCCAAACAGTCCAGTTCCAGGTCGGGCCACCCGGGCCGAGTCCACCACTGGAATTGAGAACAAATTTGAACCATTCAAAATATACTTTGTGCTAAGATGATCGAGTGAGTAAGAGAGGGCATCTTCACAACATCCTTTTTGTCAGTTTTTTTATCATCATTTGCAATTAATACATACTTCGTACATTCCAATTTAGTAAAGGAATGAGTAGGTTCGATATTGTAGTTGTTTTAAACTTAATTATCTTCTCCATTTATAGAAATTTACGTATTCTTGGATGCTAAATATTGTTAGGAAGGGAAATCTCTCTCACTCTTGTTTTATTTTTCCTTCATATTGGTTTTCTTTCTCTTAATCACTACAACACTACTACATAGTCCTGGACTCGGGCCGGGCGGACCGAACCGGGCCCGACCCGGCCCGCTCACTGTAGCAACCGGCCCGACCCGGTCCACCGGGCCACAGGCGGTTCGGGCCTACCCGGCCCGGGTGTAGGGCGGTCCGGGCCCGGGCCTTTATTTTCTTGAACCGGCCCGGCCGGGCTGGGCCCGGTCCGGGCCTAACGGCTAATTTTTAAAAAAAAAAAAAAAAAACTTTTTTCAAATTTTTTTGGGCCTTGGTCTTGGTCTTTGTAGCCGTTGGGGCTGTTAGGGAGCCTCCAAACGGCTCTATAGCCGTTGGAGGGGGGTGGGGGGTGGGGGGGGGTTGGGGGTGGGGGGGGAAAAAAAAAACCTATTTATACTCCTATTTTCTATACATTTTTTACACCTTCTCTACTCTCTAATTCTCTATTCTCTCAATCTCTAAAATCTTCATTCATCTTCATCTTCATCTTCTATTCTTCTCCAATTTATCTCTACATATATATTATTTATATAAATATTATTATATCTACTTATATATTAATTATCTACTTATATATACATATATTACATTACTAATATTTATTATCTACTTAATATATATTTATTATCTTATAATTAGCTACTTTACATATATATATATATATATATATATTATATAACTTATATTCCTTATCTACTTAATTTCTACTTATTATTAATATATTATATCTACTTATATATTTATTATCTACTTATATATACATATAGTACTTTACTAATATTTATTGTCTACTTAATAGTTAATATATACTTACTATCTTCTTAAAGTAGATAATTTGATATCTAATTATCTACTTTACATACATATATTATCTTCTCCCTATTCATCATCAACCAATCGGCCAATCCACCAAGCCTTGGTGACCAAGGTATTCTTCTCTTCTTTTATCCATTAATGGCGTTATATTCAAGTAGTAAATTTGGACATTTTAATTAAAGTATAAAACTAGTTAATTTGTTGCATTTCTCATTAAAGTGTACACCTAGTAAATTTAGACATTTTAATTAAAGTATAAAACTAGTTAAGTTTTTGCATTATTCATTGAAGTGTACACCTAGTAAATTTGGACATTTTAATTAAAGTATAAAACTAGTTAAGTTGTTGCATTATTCATTAAAGTGTACAAGTAGTAAATTTGGACATTTTAATTAAAGTATAAAACTAGTTAAGTTGTTGCATTATTCATTAAAGTGTACAAGTAGTAAAATTGGACATTTTAATTAAAGTATAAAACTAGTTAAGTTGTTGCATTATTCATTAAAGTGTACAAGTAGTAAAATTGGACATTTTAATTAAAGTATAAAACTAGTTAAGTTGTTGCATTATTCATTAAAGTGTACAAGTAGTAAAATTGGACATTTTAATTTAAGTATAAAACTAGTTAAGTTGTTGCATTATTCATTAAAGTGTACAAGTAGTAAATCTAGACATTTTAATTAAAGTATAAAACTAGTTAAGTTGTTGCATTATTCATTAAAGTGTACAAGTAGTAAATCTAGACATTTTAATTAAAGTATAAAACTAGTTAAGTTGTTGCATTATTCATTAAAGTGTACACCTAGTAAATTTAGACATTTTAATTAAAGTATAAAACTAGTTAATTTGTTGCATTATTCATTAAAGTGTACAAGTGGTAAATTTAGACATTTTAATTAAAGTATAAAACTAGTTAGTTTGTTGCATTTGTCATTTAAGTGTACACCTAGTAAATTTAGACATTTTAATTAAAGTATAAAACTAGTTAATTTATTGCATTATTCATTAAAGTGTACACCTAGTAAATTTATACATATTAAAATATTTGATATACTTTTATATTTGTTAAGATGGAGCGCGGTAGACATTCTTTGGATATCGGAAATCTCCAACGCAACCGAAAGAAGGAGATTGCGAGAACTCATCCTAGTTTGCGCAAAAAAAGCGGGCAGTCCGGATCTTCTTCTCAAAGTGGATGGGAGGACGAACCGGAATACCAACGGCGAGATGGCGAAAGAATGTCCGACGAGCAACTACAACAACTATTGGCTCAAAATCCTCAATTTTTCCATCAACGAGACATCCCGGTCCTCCCGGACGATATTCACACCATTGACGAAGAAGAGCTCGAGGATGACGATCTGGAGGACGCGGGGGGCGCCGGGAGTCACGGCACCCCGGATGAGGAGCAAGCGGCGGACCACGAGGGTGACGAGGGTGGTTCATCCCAAATAGGTACGAAATCTAAATCTCCTATTATAGAAAATAATTTTAAAAAGTATAAAGACCCAAGCACCGAGAAATGGTACGCAAGTTGCAACCATTGCGATAAGGTGTACAGTTTGGGAACTTCGGGCGGATACGGGAGCCTCAAAAGGCATCTTATGGGCAAGCACAAGGTGGAGTACGCAAAAATTGAGAAAGGCAAGGGGAAGCAAACACAAATATCGAGGTTTGCAAATAACCAACCTTATGGTAATTTCTCATACAATGATCAACAAAATTTGACTGGTATGGCTAACTTTATAGTTGAAGAAAATTTACCTTATTTGTTTTCTGAAAGTGTTTCTTTTAAAGAGTATGCACAAACTTGTTTAAATCCTCAATTTCGAAGTTATAGTCGAAAAACGGTTAAAAAAGAAATTATAAGGCTTTATAAGGCGGAAAAGTTGAACTTACAAAATTTTTTTGCAAACTATGATGGACGTGTTACTGTTTGTTCTGACATATGGGAGGACACCTATCATAATTTACATTATTTGGGTTTGACTGCACATTATGTCGATGATGATTGGAATATGCATAAACGTGTTCTTGCTTTTCGTGAATTTAATGATCGTCACACCGCCGAACATATTTATATTTTGATTGAGCGTATTTTAATTGAGTATAATTTGGTTCATAAGGTGTTTGCTATAGGTTTTGATAATGCTACTAATAATACTGCTGCTATACCTAGATTGCGTGAATTGTGTGGTGCTACTACTTTGATGGGTAGATTTTTTCATCAACGATGTGCATGCCATATAATAAATTTATGTGTGCAGGATGGTCTAAAAGCGTTGGGAGATGCTATGGAGGTAGCGAAGGGGGGGATTAGACGTATTTGGGCTAATGGTCAACTTAAATTAAAATGGAAAAATTATTTGAATGAAAGAAATGTGAAATATGTTGCTTTTCCTAAAGATTTGTCTATTCGGTGGAATAGTTCTTATAAATTAATTAGAGTTCTTATTAGATATAAAGAACATTTTCCTGCTTTTTTAAAAGAATATGATAACTACATTTTAAACTCTGCTCACATCGACACTTGCGAAAAAATTTGTAATGTTTTGATATTTTTTAATAATGCAACTGAAAGTTTTAGTCATGTTTATAAACCTACTTCAAACGAATTTATGCGAGAACTTGTTAATCTCACCGGTGCTTTTAATGAATTTCAAAATGCCGATTATGTGAGCTATTTTTGTACTTTTATGAAGGAAAAGTTTTTAAAATATTGTGCACATATTCCACATATTTATGGTATTGCTTTTATTCTCGATCCTCGTTATCGACTTGGTAATTTGGAACAATGTTACAAGTTCTATTATCAATCTTTTTATGGTGATTTTCCAATGTATGAAGATAACCCTATAGATCCGCAATCTGAATACAACGAGGTTAGTAGTTTATTTTATTCTTTATTTAATGAGTTTCGTGCACAATATGGCAACATGCCCCCTCCCCCAACCCAAACATCTTCATCTAAAGGAAAAGGTTTTTTTAAATCTGCATTTGGCAATCTTATGAAAAAAGCTAAAACAACGCACACTACTGAACAAAGCACAATTAATGAGATTGCTTTGTATATTAACTATGAGGTTGAGTTTGTAGAAAATGAAGATTTTGACGTCCTAAAGTGGTGGAAGTCAAAAGAAAGAACGTTCCCGATTTTGGCACGGATGGCTAAGCAAGTACTATCAATGCCGGTTTCAACAGTTGCCGTGGAACAAGAATTTAGTTCGGCCGGCAACGTCCTAACTAAATCGAGAACGTGTTTGAGTGCCGAATCTCTTGAGACACTTATATGCTACCACGATTGGTTGAAGGCAAGACGTAGAACTCAAGAACTTAGCCTCATCCCCTCCCAAGACTTTATGGATGAATCAACCGATGGTGGTTCTACCTATGCCGGGGATTCCGATTGATTAGTATTTTACAATTTCTTATTTTATCCTCAATTCTCTATTGTAATTTGTGAACTTGTAGATTTGTAGTTCATATTTCAAATCAATAAAAGTTAAATTTTTTTATATGTCGCATTTTTTAATTATATTATATTATTATTACTTAATAGAAAATGTATTAGAATTAATTGTTCTCAATTCTCAAAATGTACTTATTACTTATTTCACATAAATGTACTTCAAGATTGTTTTTAAATAATTTTAATATTCAAGATTCCAAGTAGATGTATAAGAATATAAGTTAAAAAAAAAATTATTTTAGGCCCGACCCGACCCGCCGGTTCACCCGACCCGGGGCCCGGCCGGGTCACCCGGACCGAACCGGCACCCGCTCACAGGCGGGCCGGGCCCGGGCCCTACATTACCGAACCGAGGCCCGGCCGGGCCTAGGCCCGAACCGGGCCCGAACCGGCCCGAGGCCAGGCCTACTACTACATCAATACATTTCCCAAATGTAATTATCATAATTCAAAATATCTTAATCACAACAACATCATTGTTGTGCAAATTATTGTGAACTACCGGAATTTTTATCTAAAATATACGGAGTACTACGTACTATATTCCAATAGTACTCCTACAGAAATATCTTCCCTCTTTTCACGAAAATACCAATCCTGTAGAAACAAAAAGAGAACGAATAAGTTGAGAACATGAATTCTACTTAATGTGGCAGTTTGCCGTCCAATTAACGTTAAACAAGTTATGGATACCTATTTGATTTTCTCATGGAATACATCAACAAAATCTGAATTATCCAGGACTCTTTTCAATAAATCAGATTGGCTTTGCACTAGATCAAAACGGTTTTGCTTTGAAACAGGGGAGATGCGAGCATTTGCAAGAGCAGGAGAATCTATATTTTCCGGAAAACTATTCGCCATAGCAAGGTCATGACTTTATTTCCTCTCAATTCCAATGGCCAGCTCCATGATGAAACATTCCTACATAAGGTATATATTAGTGAATCAGAAGCTAGTTCTCTTCAATAAGTGCCTCATATGCAGCAACCATGTGCATTCATTATCTAGTGTTCACGCCAAAAGAATTTGAAATAGGTGATATCCTTCTACGGACTACTGATAAAAGGGAATAGAAATCCAATTTGCTTCAAAAGATGTAGATAGTAGTATTTCTTGCTAGGAAGGAAATGACATGACCATCCTACCAACCAACCCCCAAAATAAACATGTGGAAGAACGTACCCCAACAAATTCTGGAATGGGAGAGCCTTCCTCATTAAGCCAATCCCTTGCTTTCTGAAAGGAAAATCACAAACACCTTAAGCTCAAATGACATCCAACAATTGAATATATTATGCAGGACCATAATGACAATGTATTGAATTCAGATCATAAACAACCAAGATTAGCAAGCAATCCACACAACATTTTCAGCATTTTTTAAAATCAGTATTAGCACAGATGATGGAACACATAAATTATAGGACGTATGGAAGAGAAGTGTTTATCAGCAATCCAGTTCAAACGATGATCGGGAGCCTACCATTATTGCAGAAATAATGACCAGATGGAACTGGTGGGGTTCTATTACACGAGAAGATTCCACTTCACTTCGCAACTCATGGTTCACATTCAAATGCACATTTTAACTCGAGGACCAATTCACCATTCAGTAATATCACAGAATAACATGTTATTTGTAACACGAAAATAACCTGACACTAAACAAAATAAAACAAAAGATGTACATACTTCAATTGTACCATGGGGAGCGCCTTAATGCTTCATCGTCCAAAGCAATCGCTGAATTATTAAAATAAATAAATTAAACACCAAAGGAATGAATGGGCTATAGCATCTTAAAGTCTTGATTCACAATGCATTCTACTCTAAAATGGAACAAATATTTTGTTTTTCGTCACAAATGAACAATCCATCAAATAAGTTGAAAACTGGTCAATAATTTCCTATCTCGATCATGAACCAAATGACAGTCACCAATATACAAACAGACTTTACTGCATATAGATAAAAATTGGCAGTCTACCTGAAATAGATCCAAACTGTGTAGTGTATCTTCACCCGAAGGAGCATTTACTGCAACAGTGCAATCCATTGTATCTAACTCAAGACACTCATCTTCATAACTCCGTTACACTATTAGAATGATACGAAGCCGCCTTCACATACATGAAAAAGTAGTCAACAGGAGAGATATTGTCATATCCAGATCAAGTTTAGTAAATAGTTTGCATATGCTACATGCTTAACGACAACACTGCATGCAAGCCTATAGAGCAAAGTGCGGGCCAAACGAGGTTTTCATGGCGTGTCAAATATGTTTGCAATGTTGGATGGAGGGTGCAGCGCAGCTGTGCCAGCAGATCGACCACCTTGTCACCTAGACACCCTACTAGGCGGTAAAGGGCTGCATGGCTGAATGTAGCACACTAGCACTTGACTGTAATATGCATTAAGTGTAATAATATACAACTGACTAATTTAAAATATAATATAGTATGCAACACTTTGTATTCATTTCCAGTGAATAACACTATAAAGCTTTAGTAAAAAGAATGTGGGGCAACTTTTGGCTATCATATAACCAAAAAAAGCCAGCAAGAGTAAAGGTAAAGACATATATAAAGAAAAAACTAAGAGAAACAAAAAAAGAAGATGAAAGGGGAGAAAGAAAGGCAACCTTGTTAGGTGGCGTCGAACTGGATGAGCCGCTTCATCAATTATCTTTAGTTAAGTTCATTCCATAAAACTCATACGGTAAAAAAAACTGTTATCATCTTATTAAAGTGGCTCAGAAATAAGTTTGAATTTACAAAATATTGAAGTGGCTTACAGAATGATTGTTCTCTGCTGATATTGATTTGCAAAGACACTCTATACGACACTATATATGATTTTTTTTTCTAGTTTAGAATACCCCATGAATAATACTACTCCAAACTGTGGTACAAATTCATTTGGTGGTACAGAATGGGTTGGATAATCTATGGTACTTATAACTACCAAAATATTTTACTCATTTTCTCATTGAGAGCTACAAAAGTTCCAAACATTGTACTAGTAAACAAAAACTCTTCAAATCAACTTGAAGTTTCTCATAGGCAAAGCACAAGAGGGCACCCTATGGCTTCCTTCCCCTTCTACCACTTCTCCAAAGAGTGCTATCAGTTAGAATGTATCAGCTATTCATGTTGACTGAAATTAGAAATTAACTGCAATTGACTGAAACTAAATCTCCAATCCACAATAGTTTCTATTATCTAGTAGCCTTATGCAGTTTGTTAGATTTGAAAATTCCCTGAAACTAAATCTCCAATCCACAATAGTTTCTACAATAGTTTCATGTTACTTTCTTCAAGCAATCACTTGAGTAGAGCTACCGCAGCGTCCACTTCATCTAAACGTGTGATAGACCGCTGATGTCCTGACTGTGCTCTGAGGGCAGCAAGTCTAGGCAGCGAGCGCGTCAACCTCTTGCGTATAGGCCTCTATATATATGTTGCTGAGGTCTCCCCACTTGTGTACAAGTGGGAATGCCCACTCCTGTATCAGACCCATATCTGCTCCGGTAAGATGGTTTCTGTGAATGAAGTCCGAGATGAGCGAAAATCGAGCCGCTTCAGCAAATAAAATCACGAACACTAGTATTGATTTGGCTGCCCTTTTTGTGTTCCTGTTACTGTGATATGAAGACAATGTGAGGATGGCATCGTCAACCGCAAATGGATTGATAGTGATGTTACCGAACTTTGTGCCTGAAACCCTGTGAAGCTGGAGATAAGACGTATCAAAGGGAAGCTTCTCAGAGCCTGGTATGTTGAGTCCAGAATGAGGCATCTCCCACCAGTTGTCTTCGTTCACGGACCTGAAGCCTATCAGGAATAGATCTGCAGTGTTGAACCTTAAAAGAAGTCGTGCTTCTTCATCCCCCGCCCTAAAACATTGCACATCCAAAATGCTCTCTGGATGTGCTGGGTCAATCCTCGGTTTCCCATTCACTGTGACCCCCCGGGAGAAGGCATTTCTCAAACTTCTTAGAAAATCAATGTAGTAGTCCTCGTGGATTAGTCCATCCTCCTGGAACTGGTTGAAAATCAACCTAGCCATGAAAAACCGAGTTATAGACCTTGAGCTATGGACAGGCTACTATGCCCTTTTCCCACGAAATACGTCCATACGCCTATTCGAAGTTTTAATCAATTTCAAAATTGATTCCACACCCCAATATTTTGGAGCCGTGTGACTAAGAATCTTTTTATTATAAAATGTCAAAACTTTTTCATTTGCATTGGATCCTAACGAAAAATATACTCTCTATCCAATTATACCACTTTTTATTATTTTTCATATAACACAAATATAACACATTTACACATTGTGTATATAAAATTTAGAAAAATATATATCTGATTTATTTAAGTAATACATGGATGCTGGATGTGAATTACTATTGCTTAATTCTGATAAAATTTGATCAAATCTATTTATATCTAGTCAAATCTGGTTTAATTTCTTTTAATTTGATCGAGTATGAGGTGAGATATCTAAAGTATCTTTTTTCTATACTACTACCTCCGTCCCCTTTTAACATTATTAGTACAAAAGGGGTGATGCAATTATCAATAAAATTGAGCTTTTTTATGGTTGATATTGAATTGATAAAATGAAAATAGAGTAATTGAACCACACAAATATTATCAAATTTGGTATGAGATAATCAATATATATAAGAGGAACTTTTTAAGAGCATATAAAGCGACACATAATCCTGCCATGTCATTATATATAACAATTATTTAGTTATTGTTGTAGGGAGAATTGAGCGTATAGTTTCATTTCAAAGGCCCTATAAATAGGGAGGTATTAGGGTTTACTGAGACGGGCCAATGGGCCCATAATACATGGTTTACATAGAATGATCCTAATACATATTCTATATACACGATAGCACACTACATAGAATTTCCTTCAACACTCCTCCTTGTGCTGAGTTGTAGATAGAATTTGGTATCAGTCTTGTCGCCTCCTCAAAACTTTGTCAAGTAACAAAAAACCCTGTGGGAAAAAAATGATCTTGACCAGAGAAATAGATTACATCATCGTGATAAACTTCTTTCAATAAGTCTATCGTCATTTGATCATTGCTTTGATCAATAACATATGCATGTATAGTTACCTCATTAAAAACCTTTTCAAGTAACAAAACCCAGTGGGAAAAATAAAACTTGGTCAAAGGAAAAGAGTGTAACGTAATGCAGACGGGGAACTCCCCCTCAAGTCTACACATATCCTTAATAATTACATTAATCAAGGATGATTGGAAAGTTCATGCATTCCAATACTTGTCACGTTAATTACCTTAGCGAAGGCACACAAATAGAGGAATATAATTCCTTTAATTCTCCCCCTGTGTGCCGAGTGTAAGGTCATAAATGTAAAAATTATTAACGTGTTAAACCGTTGCCAATGAACAAAACCTAGTGGAAAAATAAACATCGGCCAAAGAAAAAAATATGATGCACTGATAAACACGCGTCAATTACTTTTGACTGCAACATATTAATTATGTTCTTTCTTCAACATAATTTTACATTGGATAAAGGGTCAAATAGACCCATCTACTATTGTAAATCCATCATCTAAACCCATCTACTAAAAAAAGCATCATATAAACCTATCTACTCTAACAAAACGATCAAATGGCCCAATTTACCTGAAGTTCACCTTCTTTAGCCGGTTCCTTGCTAATTATACGGATTAAATATTTTCTTTAAATTTTCTTTTTTATTTTTTCTTTCTCTGTTGTGCTTTAGCCATTCACATCCCTATCATCTTCTTCCCACTGCAATTTTATACGAAGCAAAGATTGAGACTATTATATGGGTGTTTCCGTGTATTTGTCCCCAAAAACTTAACACTTTAATTAATTGTTTTATTTAAAAAAATTGATATTATCACCCAATCGGCAGTCTTCCTCACTGATTTTGTTTAGGACAGAAACATGGAGACTGAAGGTCGACAACCTATTAATGGGGCGTGGCAGAGTGATGAAGGTGAATGGGGTCCGATCAATAATCCCTGCGTGAAGGTACAGAGTGATTCCGATGGAGAGCAGAGATCTTCTTCCTCCATTCTTTGGCGACCCTGCACACACGGCGGTCCTGCACCACAGCGAGAAGAGAAGCCTCCGCTCCCATGTGGACGAATCTGAAGGATGGCGTCGTTGGACTGCTCTCACGTCTTCGATTCTAGATTGAAGTTGAGTAATAGCTTTGGGCCTTCAGAGCTTTGGAGCTCCTCACACCAACGACCTGAAGACATTGAGCTGGACGAAGAAGATAGGCAAAGCAAAAAGATTTTGAAAAAAAAAAGGAAAAAGTGAATGTAAAATATCAAAAATAGTAATTGACCAGCTAAAGAAGGTGAACTTCAGGTAAATTGGGTCATTTGATCGTTTTTTTGGAGTAGATAGGTTTATATGGTACTTTATCTAGTAGATGGGTTTAGATGATGAATTTACAATAGTATATGGGTCTATTTGACCCTTTCTCCTTTTACATTTTCCAAATTAAAACGTGGGATGGTGCATGTGGTTTTGCCTAAAAAAAAACCTTACCAAGTAACAAAACCTAATGGGAAAAAATAAACCTTGGTGAGAAGGGAAAAAGAGGTACAACACACCAATATGACTGATGATAAATAAGTGAGCAAGGACTCCCCCTAACTGCAACACATTAATAAGAATCCACCATTTACTTGATATATACTTTTATCAAGGTATTTTAATAACCAACATCATGGTATCTTTCATGATAACTATATACTCATTAAGAAAAAAATCAATGAGGTAATGTACTTGGGATTATCGGATGCCAAGTACGTTAATATGGTTGTTACTCAAACTATATCAATATGGGGATACATTTTATATTGTGGATACCAAATAAGGGGGTACCCATCATCAGTAAAACTCAAACCACGTTACTTTGTGTTAGAGTAATACTTTTGATATTTTCAATTCCTTTAGAAATAATACTATCATCAATCATTTGATTCAATTTATAAGGGATGAATAAAGATTACACCAATGATTGATTTCATATAGATATCAAAGTACATTCTTGATACCATTGCAATGACGATATACAATGTGTTAGTGATGTGTACTATTTAGTAGTGCATAAACACCACATTTTAGAATGGTTTTACATTATGTTTACTTAGCTTTTGTACAATTACGGTGTAATCTTTATCTTCTAAAATCAAAGTAGAATTAGAAGATATTAAGATATTTTGACATGTAAGCAAAAACATGATGAAAAGAAGAGGAAGGAGTTTGAGAGCATAAGGAAGGAGCATTGGAGACAAGAGGAAGCTTCACGGAGAACAAAGAAATGTGAAAAATCGGATATGATTTGACCCGGAGATAATAAGAGATCAAATAAAGCAAGTGAACATGGGAAAATCAGATTATGTGTTAGACCCAACCACCTCACTTCTCCTATAAAAACACCCCTTTCCTTCCTATTTTAGATACCAATTTAATCCCCTCTTTCACATACACTTTATTCTTGTAATTTAGGTAGTCTTTCCATCTTGGTTTTGCTACTTTGAAGCTTAATGAATTTGTAAGTTGTGAGTTATTCTCTTTAATCTTCTTCCTTGAATATTAATTCTTCCTTTAAATACTATTTCTATATCAATGTTGGGGAGTGTTACTAAGATGACAATTAGCTAACATCTTGACATTAGTTATACTAATAATTATTTCTTCCTCTACGTTAATATTGGGGAGTGTTACTAAGATGACAATTAGTTAACATCTTCATATTAACTATAGTAGGATTCATCTTCTTTAATATTCTTTCTTGAGTATTAATTAATTCCTATTCATATTTCATATTAATACTTTGAACATTACTTAAAGGATCAACTAGTTTTGTTTCATATATTAATTAATACTAGAATCGGTCGATTAATACGCTTGTTATTAATTCGGTCTTTTCATGGTAGTAAACTTGGATTATTAATGCATGCATCTCATGGTTAATAATCTAAGGGGAATTAATTATATTGATTAAACCAATAAACCGCTTGTGTTGAGGTTATCAATCTCAATCGTTTTCATCTTAAGTTTATTGCTACTATCAAGTTAATATACGGCGCTTGTTCTATATTGACTCGATAGTAAGTTTTATTAATGAACGCTTTTCGTTATTAATAACTACCCTCGATGAACTGGATATACTCCTCGATTGAGTATTCGAGAGGAAGATAGTTAAAGATATAACCGGGATCGACGAACATTTCATTAAGTGGATAAAAGCAAAGCCAAGTCTTCTTCTCATTAATTAAACCACATAACTCGTTCATCTTCGTGTTTAATTTATTAAACCAAATCAAACTAAAACCCCCCATTTTGTTACTAGTTCTATAAAAAGAAAAGTATTCCTTTCCCTGTGGATACGAACCTTACTACGCTATACTACGTATAAGTGTTGTATTGTATTATTATTTTGAGTGCACACTACGACAAAGTGCACGTCAAATTTGGCGCCGTTGCCGGGGAAAGGCAATTATTTTTCTTTTTATTTTATTCCAAGAAAAAAAAATTAAATTAAATAAAAATATAAAGAATTCTTATTTTCTATTTCTGAGCTTTGTTTGAGTATATGGTTAAACACCGATCTATAAACCAAATCACCTACCAAACAAATACCGAAACGGAACAAGCCTTCGAGAGGTTTAGGAATTTATTTCCGAATACTTCTTCGGAGGAATCATCAAGCGCTAGTTCTTATTCTAGCGAGAACGAAGAGCCAATCACTATGGCTCAAGAGACGAGAACATTGAGGGAGCTCACCGCTCCAAATCTCAACCAACAACCATTGTGTATTACCTTCCCTACACTCAATGAAGGTAATACATTTGAGCTAAAATCTGGGCTCATCCATCTACTACCATCTTTCCATGGTCTGAGAGGCGAAGATCCGAACAAACACTTGTCGGAGTTTCATATTGTGTGCACAAGCATGTGCCCAAATGGTGTCACGGAAGAGCAAATAAAAATGAGGGCCTTTCCATTCTCTTTGAAGGACACCGCAAAAGATTGGCTTTTCTATCTTCCTTCGGGATGTATCAACACATGGGCGGCTATGAAAAAACACTTCTTGGAAA